TAGTAAACCCCAAGTGATTTTAATCAAGCAATTTTTTTTTTTTTTTTATTTGAACAATTTCCAATTTTTCAAAATTTTTTTTTCTTTTATCCAAAATGTATTTCGTTGTTATTTTTAGGGTAATTTATTTACATCTTTCATCAATTTCCCTCATCTTTATCAATTCAAATTTCATTAAATTTTCTAGCAATATCATTAAGCAAGAGTAATTTGTATAAATGGAACTGATAGCTAATTTGTCACAAATTTTATAAGCTAGTCATAAAATGTCAAAGCAACAGATGGATACTACAAATTGGGCTTGAAAATGAGCATTTGAAAAATTAGAATAGGACATGAATATATCACAAGCTACCGTATCTCTCGCTTTTTTTGTTACTTAAATTTTTCCTCTCTCTCTCTCTCTTTATTTAAGTTATCAAAAAATTAAACCATTAATATTCATGAATGATAAAATTCTATGAGTATGCAAAGAGTATTGCATATTATTTTATGCAAAATAAGCTTTAATGCTAAAGCTTAATCCTTTTTTCATTCATATTATCCAATTTCCTTTATATCACTTAGCTTCTGATATTCCTATATTATCTGATGTTACTGTAAGCATTCATTATCGATTAATTTTAAGAAATAAATTTGAATTAATCAGCTTAATTGATTCATAATTTCATGAAACATATTGGATAATTTCAATAAAAATGAAGCGATAATGTTAGGAAATCCATTTAAACAGACTTGTAGCAATCGAATACAGTAGTAATAATGATTATAATTACACAAAATACATTTCACAATTTAATCATAAACAATTTCAGTTCTTAAATTTCTGTTACTTTTTTTTTTCTTATTTATTTATCCCTTTTCAACTTTATCATTTTACAATAATTCAATTAAAATTTTTTGCTAATTTCTTGTTTAATTGAATAAATTTCTTTCCAAATTGGAAATGAATAAATTTTCGTCAATTAAATGAGTTTGTTTTCATTCATTTTCATCACTAACAATCAAATAAATTAATTCCTTATCTCAAAGATAATTCGAATTTCTTTAATTTTGAAAAATTTGTTAGCTATTCGAAAAAGTTAAATTATTAAAATTTACAATTTATACCAGAATTTCATTTATCCATAATGTATGGTACCCTCATTTTACTATTTCATGCATCTTTCTTGATAGAAAACTAAAATTAATCAAGCTGTTTGCTATGTAAATAAATCGATTTCCTTATGTAAACAATGATTTGCGATGATAGTGAGGGAGGAAACTACAGTATTCCAATTTTTGAAGCATAGAAAGGAGCAAACATTTGTTCGAACGAGGGAAATATGATGCACAAGGAGACTCTGAAAATGAAAGAAAGAAGGAATACCGATGATGTGTTACGGTAATTTTGGTTGATCATTGCAGAAATCTGATTATTTGCGAATAGATGAAAAATCTGATATGTCTTTTTGTATGGTCCGATAGAATTCCGGAAGGTTAAGCCAGAAGATTGCAAAAGGAAATGATATTTATCAAATGAGGACATCTGTAACGATTGGTAATAAAAAGGGACAAAGTGAACGATGAGAAGGAATATTTCATGATAATTCGATCAAAAAGGTGACAGAAATTTTCAAATTTTGATGAAAAATAATTTTGATCGAAAAATTTTCAAAATGCATTAGCATTGTTAAATTCAATGAAGTTTTACTTATTTTTCTGCTGCAAAAAAAAAAAAAAAGAAAAAAGGAAAGGCTATAAAAATCATAACGATTTCTGGCATAGATTTTCCGGAAAAATGCTCCATTTTGTTTTATTGATTGATTTCCGGATTTTAACCGATTAATTTTCAATAATTCATCCAAGCTTTACTTATCTTTCTGTTGCAAAAAAAGTCAAAGGAAGAAATGATACAAAAAATTATAACAGTTTCTGGCATATATTTTCCGGATGTGTGTTTCATTTTATTAATTGATTTCCGAATTTTAGATTGATCAGTTTTCAATAATTCATTCGAGCTTTACTTATCTTTCTGTTGCAAAAAAAAGAAAAGGAAAGAAAGGCTACAAAAATCATAATAGTTTCTAGCATATATTTCCGGATGAATGTTTCATTTGATCTATTGATTTCCGGATTACAAACTATTTAGCATTTCTTTATATATCGGAAAATGTTTAATGAAAAATTTAAAAATAAAATGGAACAAACAATATTGAAAAAAATCAATGATTTTTTTTTTTTTTTTTTTTGCTACAGTTATGTGATATGATGTTGATGATGATGATGATGATGATAATGATAATAATATTTACTACAACTAATGTAATAAACATGTTTTAATAATGAGAGGAATAGTGTCGGTATTACGCAAAGAATCCTTATCAGACATCAATATCTTTGGATAGATGATGGATTGGATGTTGAATATGATACAAAAAAAAAAAAAACCAAACAATCTATATTTTTTAATCCTTTTTATTTTATCAAATTACTGTACACAAAAATGACAAGCGGCACACTTTTCCAAA